GCATAAAGGCGTCTGTCGGGTACTAAGCAGAACAGAGGCTATTTAATCTGCATTTCAGGAGGCACATTTTAAATCCCACTACTTCCGAGTATGAAATATCTAAGAGTTTTATTTGAATGAAAACTAAATCCCATTTTTAGGATCATGGACAGGCAAGAAATATGTAGTATACACATTCTTTAAGAAAAAAAGAATCTACTCATGTGTTTGATGAAAAATATTTAAGGCAGCTGAAATCACCAATATTTTCATTATTAACTATTTGGCACATAATTTCACCAATAGCTACGTTGTCTGCTGCTGAATATTTTAAACATGGAAATATAATAAAAATTATTGGCCATAAGCCATGGCATTGCTGCGCACAATTTTTAGATAATTTGAGTTTAATCAATCACCCTCTCGAGTACCAGATATCTTCCCTTTCAAAAGTGAATATCACAGTTACATTTTTAAAAATTAATTCACATACTTTTAATATTACTCTAATGCCAAAAAATATTGATTATAGATACACTGACTTCCGATGTTCTCCCTTCTTCATGCATCCTTTTGAATACTACTCTACTCCCAACTAATCGTCACCCACACAGAAGCCCGAAGGGGACAGAGCTGAGAGGGGGGCACCGTGGTCCCCCCGCCCAGCACTGAGGTGCGCAGGGCACCAGGCTGGACCGCTGTGTTCCGCCTCCGAATGTCCTCCCAAGAAATGCACGGTGGGACCTGCATCGTATCCTAATTCTTACCTCCTAATTTTATACTTATACTTTGCTATGTGTAGAGATGTTGGAGAGTTTAGTAATCCGAATGTTGATGAGTACCAGTCGGGCTGGTCAAATTTACTTTGGATAAAAAGTAGCCTGAAAATATAATAGTGAAATAAATCATGACCTAGGTAATTTCCTTTCTTTCCTAAGCTTTTCCCAAACGTAAGTATGGTTGTAAGGGCATACAGGCCTCAGTGGTTTCTGAGGAAATGCCCATATATTTTCTAAATGACTCTTTCAGGTTCTATAAAAAAATGCTGTCTCCAGTCGAAAACAGATTGTTCGGAATTTAGGATCAGAAGTCATCCTTCAAAAGGCAATTTGCCCTGAAAGTGCAGATAGAGCTTCCTGCACCTGAAATGCAAATGATACGAAAGCAGTGCCATTAAACGGAAATCCAGAACAGTGAACTCTTTGAAATGCCGTCCCCGAGGACATGGGCACGCGGTGGTCCGCCTTTCCCCAGCCCCTCCTCCGTCAACACCACGCTGCAAGGGACTCACTGCCGTCCCGGTCCCTCCAGGGGGCCACGCGGGCTCCTGGACTCTGACACTGGACTGTGTCTAGCCTCCCTGTCAGGCTAACTAGAAGGAGGCAGAAACTTCTAACTCTTCTACTTGTCAGAGCTGCAAATGCCTTACAAACTTAATAGCCCAGCATGTGAACAGCGCTTTACACATTGTTGAATAAATGAAATGGCAAGGCCCCTTGATATATTTAAGAATGTATGTTCTGGCCCTGGCTGGTGTGGCTCTGTGAATGAACGGCGACCTATGAACCAAAGAGTCGCCGGTTCGATTCCCAGTCAGGGCACATGTCTGGGTGGCGGGCCAGGTCCCCAGTAGGGGGGACGCACAAGAGATGACCACACATGGGTGTTTCTCTCCCCCTCTTCCTCCTTCCTTCCCCCTCTCTCTAAAAACGAATAAATACAAATCTTTTAAAAAAAAATACCTTTTATAAAAAAAAATGTTCTAAAATTCATTCCCTCTAGAAGCTTCTAAATGAGTGGGGGCGGGGGGTGTTACGGAACGCATCCCGGCGCCTGTGCCGGGCGCAGTATGATGACCACGTATAGCGACCAGCGTCCCCCGGGCTCGCTTGCAGTCCTAGACTCTACCTACTGCAGTCACTCGCTGGCTTCCTCGCTCATTCACTGTCCTCTCACAGACCCCGCCCTCCGTGTCAGCTCTGCGGTTCGGTGAGGGACAGGGAGCAGCCACCACGCCCCGGGCCCACGCCCTCCGCCGCCCACGCAGGCCCCGTGCTGTCCAGCGAGGCCATCGCGAGCCAGAGGCTGGCCCTCGGGCTCCCGGCAGCCTCCGCACCTGCGCAGCGGCCAGGCCTCTCTCTGCCGGGCCTCCCGAGGGCCCGAGGGACAGGGCGCCCGGGGAGAGCCGTGGGAGCGCAGCTGCTCTGGGGTTGCTGCCCCAGGCACCCGCCAGGGCCCCCTGGCGCAGGGTCCGGCCCCGGGTGCCCGCCCACGAGCGAGGCGCTCCAGGGAACACCGACTGGACCAAGGAAAGCTGGCTTTGATGGCAGCATGACGTCACCGCTCAAAACTCTGGCCAGCAGAACGCTGGCCCTGTTAAAAGCGCATGTAATTTGAAATTTAAATCACCATCCCTTTAGTCACTTTAAAGGGCGGGTGTCTAGAGCTGCTCTTCCTCTGGGCAGGATGGGCCACGCACGCGCGATTTCCCCGCCCAGCAGGTCACGCCCCTCGGAGGCTGCCGTGCTGGCGGTTAGGAAATCAAAATAAGCATTTATTATTTATTAGTGTTTAGAAAGTATACGTGCATGCATGTACTTTTTTCCTGGCACAGCTCTCCCTACTTCATTTCCTTTTACTAAACTGACACAAACGGACCCCTCTGCGTAGACCTGTCTCTCTGTCCACACCCCGGCCTCCCAGACCTTCCGCCTGGCGCGCGCTCAGCGCCTGGGTCCGCACGGGCGACAGAGACGCTCCCTGAAAATCCTCTCTGTGACACTGTCCCCCTGGAGAGGCGGTCCCCGGACGGACCTGGGGGAGGAATAGGGGCTGCCCGAGGGGAATGCAGGGCGTGCAAAACGCGGAAGAGGGGGAGGACAGAAAGAGAGCGCCCCAGCGGACTGCACGGAGCGGGGCGCGGTTGGCTCCGGGCGGCCGTGGGCCCAGCCCCCTGGTAAGAGGAGGCCAAAGGCTCCTCGCAGGGCGCAGACGCGGAACCGAAGGTCCCTTTTCCCACGCCCTGACTCTCAACGCTCACGTCCCTGTTCACCGCTGGTGTCTGGGGAGACGCGGCTGCCCCGGGCCAACCTGCCGCCCCCCAACTGGGAAGCCGCAGGGGCGCGTCCCAGGCAGCCTCCCCGTTCTGGGCCTCGTCCCAGGTCCCAGCCCCCAGCCCTTCAGCAGGGGCCTCTCCTCACAGGGACACGTTCTCCTCCCAGCCCAGCTGGGTGCTGCTTCCGTAACACCTGCTAATACTGTGTCATACCTCTAGGGTAGCAATAGCAGTACTGATATTTTAGTATTAGTTTTTAATATTCACATATTATTACACTCCATTTCATTACTTATATGTGCATTATTGTAATTCTATTTATTTATATAATACTAATATTAAGATACTAAATTAATCTTCTTAATATTCCAAAATACTCTAATAACTATGTAGCTTGAGTGTGTATATGAAACAGCTGGAAAGCGTTTTTTGATTGGCTGACACACAGAACAGGTTTGGGTGCCGGGGAGATGGGTTCACAGCGATTTCGGGGCTCGCTCCCACTGAACCCCTAAAACCGTACACAGAATTTTCGTTTTCTAAGACCTTCATCCAATTTCATTTGTCACATATATCGCTATCCCTGCACAACATTTGTATCCATCAGTACCTCGCAAACTGAAATCTGCCTCTTTACGCGCCTTAAGCGCGGCACAGCCACACGCTTCGAAGCGCCACGCGTCGCATTCGAGCGCGCGGGGCTCTACCAGGGAGACGGGCCGTGGCAGCCTCGTCCCGGCGTCCAACTGTTCGGACGAGAACGGGCCTGACTCTCGGATTTCTCTCTCCCTCTTCCCCTCCCCCCGCGGTCACGCGCGCGTGCTCATGCCCTTGCGCTTTCACAGCTATTTTCTGTTTCACTGTCAAAAGCTCTCTTTTTAAAAGTGAAATAAGCCACTCAGAGAAAGAAAATACCTTATGACTTCACTTGCATGCGGAATCTAATGAACATAATCAACAACAACAACAACAAAAAAAAACCCCCACAGAAAACAGACTCACAGACACAGAGAACAGACTGGCAGCTGTCGGGGGCGGGGGTTGGGGGCTGGGGAGAGGTGACAGTATGAAGCGAAAACATTAATTTAAAGAGTAAATAAAAGGTTTACTTCTTTTTTATTATAAATATCACATAAGGAATTAGGAAAACTTTCAAAACTAGAGTAAGGAAAATCAGCGCCAAGCAACACGCTAGCAGCGCGCTTCTAACAACACAGCGTTTCAGCGAAGACGATTTTCAACTTCAAATGCAGCACTTCTGCTGCGCTAAACAAATTTCCAGAAAAACAGTATATATTTTACTGTTTTTAATATAAAAGGTCTTCATCTCGTTGAAACTATATTTAAAATTAAGTTCTCCTCTAAAACAACGTTCTTACAAATGTTGGGCCGAACGTAATTCCCTTAAAAACGGAAGTACCCCACAATATTCAAGCCTTATAATATGTATTCCCATATGCATTCAGCCTGGCGGGCAAGGCATCTGACTAAACCTCCCTCCAGCCCACGTTCCTTTTTTCATCAACAGAACTGCTCTTCCACGTACACACACGAGTGGAAAGCTCAATGCAAAGTCGACAGGCCTTTTCCTACGGAGCACATGTAAAAATTGTTTGAAGACTTCTTCTGGCAAAATATATTACCATAAATAAAGCTCTGCAATATAAAGATTATTTCTGGAATCATGAATCATAATCATTAAATACAACCAAGTCCAATATGGCGTTTTCAATGTATTTAAATTTTCAAGACTTATTTGCCAAGGCTTATTTTTAGTCAAGGCTCTTTCTTTTGTGCGTAGTCTCCTTCATTCTCACTTTATCTCTCTAAGCAGAATAAAACTGTCACAAAACTAAAATGCTAGCATCTGTCGGCTTCATTCCCACTTCCGAGTGCGGCAGGGACACCGGGCTCTGTCCCCCCAGGCAGCGCGCCGCCCGCCGGCCCGGCCCGCGCGAGCTCTTACCTTCGGGTTTGCTGTTCTTCCGCTTGAGCCACTTCTCCACTGTCTCTGCGCTAACACTTTCAGAAACAAATTCATCTAATACCTGGGGGTGAAGAGAAAGATAGGCCTTCACTTTTTCATCTGTCAAACCTGTAAAAGAATTGAAAAGAATAAAGATATCATTATACTGACCGACTTAAAATGCAAGTATAAAAAGAAGAGAAAGCCGCGCGCGCGTGCGCACCATGGAGCGCCATTCGGCCGCAAAGGAACGGCGGCCGCCTGACACAGGCCGCGTCGGGGAGGGTCCCTAAAACAAGGACAGCAGGACAGACGAGGGCAAGGGGCAAATCTTCCATGGCTCCACTTACATGAAACGTCTAGGAAAAGCAAACTCATGGAGACAAAGTGGAGGAAGGGTTTCCAGGGATGCGGGCAGAGAATGGGAAGTTACTGCTTAATGGGTGCAGTTTCTATTTTGAGTGAAGCCGTATTTTGGAAGTGGACGACATGATGGGTGTGTGCGTTGTGAGTATAACGAAGCCCCTGAACTGTACACTCAAAATGGCTAAAATGGCCATTTTCTGTTACATACATTACCACTATAAAAATTAGTAAAAACAGAAGTTAGAACGTCAGCGATTTGAAACAACAGATGGTACATCAAGAAACAGCCGCTTCCCACCAGTAGATTCCAACCTCACATCTGGGCTGAGGCCGCCTTCCAGATGTGCCGTCACGCCCCACAAAGCGCTTATTTGTTGTGCGCAAACAGCTACCACAGATCGAACACTCAAGGCAAATGAAACTCTAGCAACAGTACGAAACAGAAAAATGTACCACTGGTACCTTTTAGGTCCTGAAGAATGTTCAATAAGTTCTTATCGCTTATTATTTACAACACAAATTCTACTTTTGCTCAGAGGCACTAAATCCCATGACTGTTGGTTCAGAATAATCTTGAATTTGTTCATTGATATTCTATGCACGCAGTCTGTTTCCCCAAAATAATTTTTGTAGTCTACTGATAACTGTACTTGAACAGACATAGGCTTTTCAGAGTACCTTTAAATAGTCTCGTGTTGAATAGGTAAAATTCTGCTTTGCACTGGGCGCTTCACGTGCGTACCCCACAGATTATGGACAATTACCGCTTGGCGAAGCCTGCTGTTTCTACTACCGTATCCGCCCCATAAATTATTCAACCAACTACCACCTTAGGGATGGTCCAGTGAAAAAGACAACAGGAAATTCTACTTCAAAATGCAGAAAGAAACAAAGGGAGCAAATCTTTATGACGCCAGGACACAGACCGCACGTGTCCCCCGAGACAAGGCCCAGAGCCCGGCGTCAGGGCCACAGGGACAAAGTCACGGCCGCTCGGACTCCACAGCGGAAGGGAGTGCCTGAGAAGGCCGGCGCACCCCCACCCGCCGCGAACTCAGTCCGTAAGCAGCCCCCTTCACCAGTGGGTGAGGGGCGGTGTGGCGGTGGAGAAATAGAGACCTCCAGAGACCCAGGGGCTACTTGTAACGGCTCTTTCTCCCTGAGACCCCGTCTGTGTTCACCCTGCCAATTCTATCTGCAAAATTCCACAAGGTGTTGAGCACAAGAGGCTCGTTCAAGCAGGAGAGGACGCCATGCAGAGCCCGCGAGGCCCCGGCAGGGCGAGTGCAGGGGCTGGGGAGCTGGCAGCCGGCTCGGCCTTCGCCAGGCGGGCGGCGCACAAGCCACGCTCTTCGATTATTCCCCACAGGGCAGCTGCCTGATACTTGATTCCTCCCGGAACCTCCTTCCGTCACTTCTGCGGGGCCGCACGGCGCAGGCCTCACCCTGACTTCCTCTCGGCGCGTTACTGCTGCATCCTCTTCACTTATCGACGATGATGGCGGCAAAATCTGAATCGGGAGCCTTAATGGACGTTTGAACTCTAGTCCCTGGATATTCCTCCACCGCCTCGAGCTCCATCTTGACTCAAATCTAAGTGATTCATCTCCTGCCACTTCTTCCCAAAGTGATTTTAACTCTCAACTTCCCTTTTACTGTTACTCTCCATTTTCTCAGAAACCCAGGCTGAAAATATAAAGTCATAATTGACTCATCCCTCCTTGTCATCTCATTTCATCTCAGCGTGTTATTATACAAGTCTTATTTGCCAAATTACAAAATTGCATATCTGACAAAATATACAAAGAATGCTTAAAACTCAACATGAAGAAAAACAACCCAATTAGAGATGAGTCAAAGATCTAAACAGATACTTTCCTGAAGAAGATAAAGGTATGGCAAATAAGCATATGAAAAGATGCTCAATTTTCATTAATGAGCTGAAGGCAAAATAAAAAAATGCGATTTCACTACGTACCTATTAGAATGGCGGTAATTAAAGAAGCCGAGTATCAGTTGTTGGTAAGGAAGCAGAGCAACGAGAATTCTCATTCACTGACAGTAGGAATGCAAAATAGTGGTCGCGGTGGAAGACTTTTTGGCAACGTCTTACAAAGCCTTTATCACTATATATAACTATAGCTTTTCCCTATGACCCAGCAGTCACACTGCTAGGTAATTACCCAACTGATATGAAGACTTGTGTCCACACAGAAACCCCCATCTATAGCAGCTCTCCTCGTCATCAATCACCCAAGGTGGCAACCACCGAGGAGCCCAGCAGCGGGCAAGTGGGTACGCAAGCCGCGGCATGTCCCTGTGACTCCATACGGTTTAGCAATAAAACGAAAGGAGCTCACCAGCCATAAAAGGCATGGGTGAGTCTAAAACGCACGCCGCTCCGTGCGAAGCCTGAGAAGGCCGCCTATCGTATAAGGCTGATTGCGCCGCGTCCTGGGGAAAGCAACGCGCTACGGAGACGAAGAGCGCGCAGAGCCGGGGCCGCCAGGCTCGAAGCGGAGGGCGGAGGACTGGATGGGGCCCCTTGCAGGGGGAGGCCGTGCTGTATGACACCGGAACGCGGAACGCGTGACACTGCGCGTGTGGCACGCACCCCGGAGCTTCGCGGCACAAAAGGAGACGTCAACGGGCGCCCATGTTAAAACCTCCGGGAGGTGGGGCTGCCCCAGGCCAGGCCTCAGGACGTGACAGAATGACGAGGTCGCGCGAAGCAGCCTCGCTGAAGGGAAGCCCCTCGTGGAGAAGGCGCTGCCCTGCATGACGCCGGGGGCGGGGGCGGGGGCGCCTGGGAGACCCGCGGCCGAGGGGCCGCACGCCAGCGGGTCAAGTTGGCGTCCCGGGGCTCCAGCCCCGTAATTCTGACACCGCTACCCATGGACACAGGAGCCAGACAGGGCAATAAGGGGAAGGTGGGAATGAGGTTCCTCAGTGGTAGACCCCGTGGGGCGTTACATACAAGCAAGAGAAAAGTCTAGAATGATCTACGTGGAAATAGCTGAATTAGAGTGTGAGACGTCAGTATGGTCACATGCTTAGCTGACGGTAGATACAAACGGTCCCACACAGAAACACTGGGAGATACGTGTTCACACTTAGGTTACTCTGTGCACATATATTTACTTGCTTCGCCAGCTGCGAAGGCCTAGAAGTGACGCTATCCCAGTGCCAACAAGCACACGCCGCACCCCGGTCTTGGCTTCTAATGCCATTCCTTTCCAATAAAAGGAAACGCTCCCTGGAGAAGCGGCTGATGGTAGGACAGGAGCGGAAGCACCTGTAGAACGAGTTCAGGTCACCCTGTACTCCGCCAGACGGCACGGAAGTGAGAAACGCGCGTATGCACACAGCACGGGGAGTCACGGGCGTGGCCAAAGGCACAGTTGCTGATTGAAAGAGCTCCCTGTGGTTCAAAGCTGGGACAATTTGAGTAACAAAAGAAAGCAGAACTGGGTTATTACACAAAGAATGTCCATGCTATGGCCTGAAGGTCTGCGCCCCCTCCAAAAAAGTCACGTGTTAAGATTCTAATCCCCAGCCCTGGCCGGTGTGGCTCAGTGGACTGAGCACCGGCCTGCAAATCGAAGGGTCGCCAGTTCAATTCCCAGTCAGGGCACAGGCCTGGGTTGCAGGCCAGGGCCCCAGTAGGGGGCATGTGAGAGGCAACCACACGTGGATGTTTCTCTCCCTCTCTTTCTCCTTCCTTTCCCCTCTCTAAAAGTAAATAAATAAAAATCTAAGAAAACCCCACACATTTAAAAAACTAGTAAGACCCTAATCCCCAAATGTGATGGTACCAGCCCGTGGAGCCTGTGGGAGGCGCCTGGTCAGGCGGGGGTGCCCTTCGGAACTGGCTTCCTGCCTCACGAGGGAGGCTGCAAGTGCCCCCAGGCGGTGTGCGGACCGGCAAGTCCACGAGTCAGAGAGGGCGCTCACCAGCCACGCCGGCGCCGTGACCCTGAACTGCCCAGCCTCCGTAACTGCAAGATCATTTCGTTTATGCTCTTTATAGGCTGCCCAGTTTCCAGGTTTTTTGTCACAGAAGCCGGAATGGACTAAGACAATCCCTGAGTCCATGCTGAAACAAATAAATGGCCGAAAATGAACAAACAGGAGCGCAGACACGTCTCCCGTGAAGAATCATAATTTACGTAGCTACTGTGTCCTCCAGAAGGCAGAGTGTAGCTCCCCGCTCCTTATAATCATTGTGCACAAATTAGTCCAAACTAAATTTTTAAACAGCCCTGGAGCCAGGAATGACCAAGTAAACTCCTAGAGTAAATAAAGGACGCAAACCCGCGGTTGGAGCACGTAGGAGAGGATGGACGCGCGTTGGTAGCCATCACAGAGCTTTCTGTCTCACGTGTCTCAAAGAGGTTAAGCGTGGTTTTCTCCCCACATTGCCGCTCGCATCCCATGAAAGTCCGCCCCTCAGCAGGGGAACGGTAGGACGAGGGGTCAGGTCCGGGGAGCCCGCCCCCGACACACGCCCAGCTCCCCGGCTGCGTGCGCCAGCGCCGGGTGGAGACGGAGTACGGACGAGCGTGCCTCTCAGGGCCGCCGAGCGAGCCGAGGCGGCCGCCCCGCGCAGCGCCAGACCGCCCCGCCGGCCCCCGGGCGCCGATGCTCGTGCGCGTCCGAGGCTCACACCGCAAGCTTGGGACTTGCTCTTTGACGTCACAACTCCCAATTTTCTAAAGCTTCGATTTTTATTTAGCACTTAACGGACGCTCACGCTCCTCAGC